TCCATTGAAGGGTATAGGTATTAGGCATCGAATCTAATAATACTTCCAATGTATTAGGGTTCTATGATGGATTCTTGAGGGATGGATTCTTGGGCTAGTTTCTAGTTCGGTCGTTATAATATCCTAAAATACTCCTACAGTATTTTGACCCTTACGTTTGATTCTAGAATTCTTCTGGTATCTAGGAAAGTTTTAGGCTTGCTGCAACACCACAATCACTCCCAAGCACATGTTGGTCATGTCTCGAATGAATATAGTTGATCATGCTATATTGATCCTAGACATGACTACATAACTGCCAAGGTTTAACCGCGATGTCCAACATCCAAATACTTTTGTTTTGTTCTACTTATGATACTGATTCAGGTACTTAGGTATACTTGTATTCTTTTTTTATAAAAATACTTATATTTTAAAGTATACTTTTTAGTTCAGAGCACTTAGGCCCCTTAGTGTTTATATTTGTATACCAGGTAAGGTTCAGTATACTTAGTTCACTATAAACAAGAGCTCTGATACCAATCTATCACACCCCCGAACTGTCAGAAAATAACGGCGGAAACGTCCGGGGACGGGTGACGTCATGCGTAGTATCACAACAGTTGTATCATAGCACACATAGTAAACAAAATTTAAATTCCAAAACTTGAGGGCAAGTTTTGAAACCTTTTTCAAAACATTAGGGTTTTAACTATTTAAATTTCAAAACAACAAACTTTTGGGTTCAAATTTAAACTATAAAACCTAAAGGGGAAAATATGAAACTTTTCATAACAACAAGGATCAAATAACAAATAATCTAAATTAACATTTAATCACATAATTATCCATATTTGATTTATCTAATGATTTCTTGCAAAACAATTTATCAATTTAGTCAAAATAATTAATCAATTATCATATAAGGAAACAATTATCTTATTAATTGATAAATATCTTCAATTAGATCAAGAATATAGTCAAATATATCATAAAATCGGATTTATAATGATCTAATATGATAAGGTAACTATCCATAAGCAAAAACAGCAAGAAATCCCGAAATATGCTCCATCTGACGCTCGAACTCGCCGAGTACCCCCATGGACTCGCCGAGTAGGGGCAACTCGCCGAGTCCACAGTGGGACTCGCCGAGTCCATCAAGCAGAACACCAAAAATCGAATTTTTCAAACATATCAAGCATCAATACAATAGAAACCAGACTAGGCTCTGATACCACTGATGGGTTTTTGGTCATAAGACATCCTATGTGCTCATACAAACCCTAATGCTTGGATCTAGGTTTCTTTATTGTACATGCAAGTTATCCAAGACTATAAACCCTAATTCTAGCATTCAAGTAATCATATTAACATGAGAATAGGTTTAAGATGTTACCTTGATTGTTATGTAGCAATAACAATCCCAAATCTCCTTGTATTGACTTTGGAAGGATTAAAGTCACAAGTGTCACTCCTCTAATGGTTCACAAACACCATAAGCAAGAGGATGAAGAGGAGAGAAGATGGAGGCTACCAAAATCGTGTGAAACCCTAGCAAGAAGCTTAGCCACGTTTTTGGTCCTTAAGGGATCTATATATAGTGAGGCTATTAGGGTTATCTATCAAGGAAACCCTAATTTGGATGCTTAAGCCCTAAGCAACCCATAGACTCCTTTAATCAAGCCCTTGGACGATTTCCTTATGGGTTTCCCCATAGAATTCGTCCACCCCTTGATTCAAGGCAATCCATGGCCCAAATTGCAATTATCTTATAATTACAATTCCAGTCCCTTAAGTTTAATTAATCTCTTTTAGTCACAAAACTAATTACCAATTAATTCTTGACTAATATTAATTAAACAATATGATTTCTCCTTTAATATATTATTCTCATAATATATTAATAAATCATATTTAATCCTTTCTCTCCATAATTCATCATATCAAGTTGCTTTGGTGAAGGCAACCCAAAAGGACCATGCACCATCGGGTCAAGTACATACCAAAATAGTTATGGACTTAGACACTAATCCAACAGTTGCATCATGGGTAATACTCAGTTGATAAGTGTGGTTATCAGGGGGTAAAGCCGGTGGCCGGCTTGAGACGGTGGTCAGTACACCGCAAGAAAGGAGAAAGTGAGTTCGAGTTTCGATGGTTGTGCCTTGAGGAACCTGGTCCGGTTAATGCCAGGTGGTGCGTTGCGGGAGTAGCTCAAAAGTCGAGTTGCTGCAGGCTTCGAGGACGAAGCCTAATTTAAGTGGGGGAGAATTGTAACATCCCGGAATATCAAGAGTATAGTTGAAGGGCTAAAAGAGTAAATTGGGAAGGGGAACTCGGCAAGTCCATGGGTGGACTCGGCGAGTAGGGTCGCGACTTTGGTCGCGTGTTAAGTGGCCGACTCGGCGAGTCAGCGGATGGACTCGGCGAGTAGGCGCTGAGTGGAGAAAACCCTAAATCCGGAGGATGAGCCCTATTTAAAGGACATTATACCCTTTCCCCAGCCTTTTTACCCTCTGTAGAAGTCCAGAAAGCCCTAAGGCGCGAATTTGAGGGAGTAGAGTGCATTTGGGGCTTGGGGAAGTGATTGTTGAAGAAATCTTGAAGGAGAAGAGACTTGGATCAAAGGGCTTTGCAAGGATTCAGATTAACCTTATCTTGGAGCTTCCTTTTGAGGTATTATTTCATTGTTTGAGCTGCTATTATCTAGATTCATCATTTTTGGAGGTGTTAGAGATCATATCTTTTGATGTAGTGGAGTTTAGAGGTTAGATCTGAGGTTGCTACCTCAGATCTGGAATGGAGAAGGGTTAGAATGCATAAAAGTCCCTGTTTTTGAGTGATTGATGGAACTATCTTGTCCCAAACCCAAACCCTAGAGTGAAAATGCCTAGATCTCCTTGGATTCACGTAAATATTGCCACTTTACGTGATGGATGGCCTTAGGAGGGGTAGATCTATGGTTTGGATCATCTGCATGGCTTGGAAAGCCTCTGTATGGATTCAGACCCGGTGGTACTCGGCGAGTCACATGGGTAGACTCGGCGAGTTGCTTGAAGAAAGGCTGGAACTCGGCGAGTTGGAAGAACAACTCGGCGAGTTGGATGAAGATGGCCTGGAACTCGGCGAGTTGTAAGAACAACTCGGCGAGTAGGTTGAAGATAGTCGTAGACTCGGTGAGTCTGTTCTTGGACTCGGCGAGTCTGGTCGTGGGGTCCAAGTTTCTTTTGGATGAGCTGTGACTCGGTGAGTCAAGGGATGACTCGGTGAGTTGTGTGCGAGTGGACTCAGAGTTGTTGGACTCGGCGAGTCTCGGGGTGACTCGGCGAGTTGGGTCGCGGATTGAAGGAGGTTCTGTGTATGGGGACTCGGCGAGTCATCGGGTTGACTCGGCGAGTAGAGTCAGTCAGGGGTAGACTTTGACTTTGACTTTGACCAAGGGTTGACCAGTTGATTTCCAGGGGCATTTTGGTAATTGTTGAATATTGTTTTAAGTTCAGTGTATTGGTGGTTGGCGAGTGGTGGAGATCCTATCAGTAGTCAGAGCAGCTTGAGTTATCCGTTCAGCCGGCAGTTTCAAGGTGAGTTATCCTCACTATATCATCAGGGTCTACGGCACCAAGGCCGGCCCTTTATCGGATTGAGATCCGGGTATTTGTTGTTATGTGACGGCTTTGATATGTTTGCATCCTGGTAGTTAGGATGGTATATGTTAGAGACCGGGTTGAGGTCGGTATCCTGTTCTGTAGGGTGATGCTATGCTAGTGACCAGTTAGGTCGGTATCCTGGTTAGGATGATGATATGTTATGTGATCTACTTGATCGGCTTGTTGACTGTTAATTGTTATATGACTGTATGTTTATGTGCACATGGTTGTTTGGACTGGAGTTGGGTTGAGGCGGGTCCTACTTTGTGCTGTAGGCCAAGATACCCAGGGCGGACCGGTTGTCCCGAAGGCCCAGCGAGCGGTCCGGATAGGCTGTAGGCCCCAAGAGGGCAGACCAGACGTGCCGAGGCTCGGAGAGTGGACCAGACTGACTGAAGGCCCGGTGCGGGCGGACCAGTCATACTGTAGACTCAGAGAGTGGACCAGGTGGATTGAAGGCCCGGTGCGGGCGGACCAATCACACTGCAGACTCGAGGTATATGGATAGACTTGGAGGGTGGACCAGGTGGACTGTTGGCCGGTGCGGCGGACCAGTCACACAGTAGACCCGAGGTGCATGGCTGTTCTGTGATCGGATATGTATGGCATGTTATGCGTGTATGGTATATGTGGTTGGTATTTTGGGGATATCTCACTAAGCTTTCGGGCTTACAGTTGTGATTTTATGTTTTTCAGGTACTTCAGGAGACCATGGCAAGGCGAAGGCGTGATCGTACCGCTCCTCATGTTTTTGTCGTAATGTGATTCTGGGAATACTCTAAACAAATTGTATTGAAAACCTTTTTGTAATAATTTAATGGAATCGGGTTGTTTTTGAAAAGTTTAAATTGGTTGGAATTTTTCGGTTGTTACATTTTCAATTAAGGCAAAATATAAGGATCTTTTTGCAAATTTTCCGATTAAATTACAATAAGTTTAAAACACAATTTAATTTATATGCCTCAAACACAACCTTAATAAAACTAATGTTATTAGTTTTGTAGGGTTTTTAGGGTCAAAAAAACATTTTAAAAAAAAAAATCTCAAAATATATTTTTTATGTATTTCTATTATTTTTCTTGGTTTATATGGTTTAGGTATTTTCTATTTAACATTTCCCTTTCTTGGTTTTCTTCTTCACCCGTTTTCTAAAAAACAGGTCATTGCCATTACCAATTATTTATTTTTATTTTTTTACTTTGATGGATGCAAAGGAAAAGGAAAAGAAAAACGGTCAAATATGTGAACGTTGCTATTGACTCTTGTCTCGTTGCTTTTGCCATAAATCAATACATAGCAGACAAAATAAAGAAAACATATAATAATAGTGTTGTTCCAAAAAGAGTAGACATGATTAGATGAAGTATCAGTGGACCATGAAGTGAGAAACAAGTTTTTTCAACTACTATGTTTTCCCTAAAATATAATGTCAAATCTTCCGAATAAAATTCCCCTGAACCCCAAAAATAACTATCCAGTGTACACCATTCAATCTATAAAGGTAAAATCCCCCTCAGTCCCATTGAATTGAAAACAAAGCCTCCCCGTGTTCATCACACCATTAGTAACTGGATGCCAAACATGAATTCCACGATTTCTCACGAGATCTCGAACAGTTGGCCTTATCACCGGCAACCCATGAGCTCCGTCAACCCCTCTAACACCATCATCTCCTTTACCTGTGATTAGTGTAAAATCGTGGATAGCTGCACATAAGATACCATTAGTGTATAAACTTGAGAAATTTCGGATAGTGGATTTTGAATGTTATAGCATTATACTTTTGCATGTCATGTTATGCCATTCTACTTTGATAATCTGACAGCTACTTTATAATTAAACTCAATTAAGCCATCTTTTTCAATTTGTAAATTCCCTTTTTTTATGTATCTGATTTTAAACAAGCTAATGTGCTGGAACACTTAACAGGAAGTATATTAAATTGCAAATATTTTTAAAAAACTGTCAATGTTTCACTTAATAGCATGCATTTTGGACACTTGCTAAAACTTTCCTAGAACTGGTTTTTCATTAAATTGTAGTCATTTGCTAAAACTTGCTAAAAGTATAATTTTATTTTTATATTTGTAAACGATTTACACAAAATTTCTGTCACATATCCTCCAAAGAAAACCTAAGCAACATCTCATTATTTTCTGTATTTTGTATTCAGCTGATGATTATAGCAACGTACTTTAGATTATTAATTAGCTACCTACATACAAAAGTTGGAGTTAATAGAAAGTACGTTGTTATAATTCGGATTTTCAGATGATCCAAATATTCGAAATTTTTATGAATTATATTTTTTGATCAACAAATTGAAGCTTACATTTGGTCATTGATGTGGAAAGCATCAAAAGCTTTACGATATGTGTAGCAGAAGTTTCACTTTGTCCATGGAGGTTAAATGGGTGAGAAGATATGGATTTACGATTCCTGCAATTAGCATATTTAGAAATTAGAGTTTTAATCGGGCAAAAGTTATAAAAATAATTCAATAGTGTATTGAATTTGAAACAAACTCAGAGAGAAAAATTGTTGTAGAATTTGTGATATCTTGAATCTCGGCCAATTCTTTTGATCTTTTTTGTGCTTTCCAATTTATCTTACTCGGAACATTTATTGCCTGCATATATTTTATATATGTTAACAAGTAATTTTAAAAATAAATTATAACAAAATCTACTTACAGCTTGGTAATCCGCTTCGTGCTTCAACCAACGAAGACGGGATATTTCTTTAATCTCATCGTAATCCATGTAAATTTTATGGGGATCGTAATCATGTATTCCACTAAAAACCGGACCCATAGCTTTTAATTCTTCTAATTTTTTTTCCCATATTTTTATATCTTCCTTATAGTAAGTACCAATGGGATCTTGATCTTTAAGGGTTATTGCTTTCGGTTTGGATGCTTCATTCGAGGTTTCCACATCACACGTTGTTGACTTTTTTTTGATTCGGGCCAGGTGCTTCATCATTGCTGGATCCATTGTTCTTCTTTTTCTTTCGCACCATGATGTGGGTGATGAAGGTCTGAAATGGACCAAATGTATTTGATTCGCGACCTGCAATATAAATGCATAATGAAGATGACAAAATGAATTTCAATGTGTGTTATCCAAAGGATGGAATCCATCAACAATAACAGCAACATAGTTGTTGGGACAATAGGGAAACTGGAATTTCCGTTAGGAGTAGAACAAAAAAACTCTATGTTTTCTGCTTCTTATTCTATTGCGTATGAACACAAATACAAGAAACCAGCATTGCGTAGAGTATAAGCGGTGAAGAAACGAAGAGGAAACAAATCGAAAACAGTAGAATAAAAGAGTAGTTAGCGATTGACGATTGGTTTACCTGAGACGTCGGAGGCTAGTTGTCGCCGGTGCTTCTAGAGGAGATGATCGACTGAACGAGGATGGACGTCGGACGGAGGCAAGGGAACGCAGCGACGGACCTGAAGTGAAGAACTCGATTTGATTTTTTGCGTCTGTAAATCCCGCTTCTGCGTTGCATTAAAATTGCAAATTTGGTAATGTCAGGGATTTTGTACAAAATGTTTTTGGAGGCGATGATTGGTCCAAAAAAAGGAGAATACCAAGGAAATTCCAAAAAGAACCTCGGAGGGCAGTACACAAAACATATTAATTGGGAGCTGATTTTTACGAAATAACTTTTTTCCGCATACGAACAATTTTTTGTAAAACTACAATTTTACCCTTTTCTCTATTTTCAAACTTTATAATCTGTCCCCACTAATCTAAAGGAAAGTGATATTTCCACATGTTTTAAAATAAATATTATTTGACAGTTTTACCCTTACTTAATTCTTACAAAAACATTAAGAGATATAAATGGGCTATATTTGCAGTTTGTATGAACACACATTTAAACGTTTCCTTTTTCTCCATTATTTACCACTTAGAAAAATTAATTTGTTTCTTTATTTATTAATCAAACCAACCCATTTATTTGTTTTTTTAAACACGCGCAAGTCTTTTTTTTTTTTCTTATTTATCATCTAATTATAAAATCTAACAAAATGTTAATTTGTTTTCTTATTTATCTATACATATTACAATAATATATAACAAAAAAAATAATTTGTTCCATATAAATTTATATCACAATAAAATGTTTAAATAAATATATGTTAAATCACAATAAAATATCACCCACTAAAATATTATCTAAAAAAATATTCAAATCACAATAATTTAAAAAAAATCATGTATAAAAACATTCATTGTACTGCATTTACATATTATCACTTAAAAAAAGTTAAATATGCATTTAAATCAAATAAGTTGTTCTTAGACATTTCATAGTTCATTTTGGAAGACACGAGTACACGAATGATTACTAAACTTTTGACTGAATTTAATATATTTTTTGAGCCGATGATTCGCCAATTAAAAGTTATATAATAAAATTAAATTAAATTAAAAAAAAAAAAAAAAAAAAAAACTAGCGCACACGACCTTAAAGATTTGAGGTTGTAGAATCATCACAAACACACAATCTTTCATTTACTTGTGTCTTTCAAATGAATAATAAAATGTAGCAACTTATTTGATTTAAATGTGTATCCAACTTTTATAAGTGGTGATATGTAATTGGTGTAAAGTGAATGGTTTTTTATCGTCAAAATTTTTTAACGTTATTATGATTTGAATATTTTCGTTGAACATCTTCTTATTGTGATTTAATATCTATTAGTTTTAACATTTTATTGTGATAAATTAAATTTTATTAGATTTTACATTCAAATTAAAAAGTTTAAATGGGTTGATCGAATTAAAGATACCATTTAGTGGGTTTGTTTGATAAATAAATAAGAAAACAAACTAATTTTTGTAAAGAAAAATAAAGATAAAATAATAGAAACAAATTAATTTTGATAAGTGTTAAATAAAGGAAACGCTTAAATTTGCTAAGGATAAGATGCGGATTAATTATATCTCATCATATTTTGTAAATTTCAAAATAAGGTTAAAAATGTAAAAACAATTTTATTTTAAGTGGAAGCATCAAATTGATAAGTGGAAATATCATCTTTATAATCTAAAACCCTTCCAAATATTCAATCACGAAAACAAGGAAACGAGTATTCGCTTCCCACTATCGTTCGCTGTTTACTTTCCATCTCCGGTTTGCTTCACCACATCGCCGCCTGATCCATTGCCGTCGTCAACTGCTCGACCTCAGCCGGCGGCTTGCACCACTATTATTGGTTTGTGATTTTATATTAGGATTCTATTTCTTTGATTTATGATTTTATATTCATTTATGATATTGTGATTTTATATTCAATTTTTGTTTACACCATTGTCGTCGGTGCTATTATGATTACAAATTCAGTACTATTTTGTAATGGGCTAATTACTGATCTAGTCAAATTAAGAAAGTAATTAGCCATTTTTAGCCAAAAATTAGGAATTGTCCCAAAATAGCCCACGAAACCGTAGGTTTTTAGAATTGTATATCGTTTCGTGTTTAATATAAAAAAAATTCATTTTGAAGATATAAAACCGTAGATTTTTTTTTAAAACCTACGGTTTTCTCTCTATAAAATACGGTTTTCCAAACCATAGCTTACGGTTTTGGGTTAAATCTACGGTTTTTTTTAATGAAAACTACGGTTTTGGGTTGAAGTCTACGGTTTTAGGTTAAAAAGCTACGGTTTTGTGCATTGTGGACTTGTACACTATAAGAAATCTACGGTTTTAATTTTTTTTCCTTTTTGTTTTCAAAAAAAAAATAATAATAAAAGTTATCCCTATATACAAAAACTACTCCTAATCAACAATACGGTAAAATTTTGATTAAAAATAAACGTATCTCGTTGTTCTTTGGGTGCTCGATTGAGAGAAAATAGTAGACAATGAAAGAAAAAATAATGAAAAAGTAACCTAAACTGAAAAATACGACGTTATATACTATGAGCAAGTGGACCACAAAACAGTAGACGGGCCACGGAAGAGTAGTCCATTGCAACGAAATAGTAGTTTTTGAAGGTTGACCGTAGTCAACCCTTGTTGACCGTAGTCAACCCTAACCTATCTACTATTTCGTGGGCTAGTTTTTGCTAATGTGTTTTTTTGGCTAATTTTAGATAGATAATTAGTATATTTGGCTAGATTAGTATTTTCCCAATGAATATTATGTATTCTATGTTAACACGTGGCTCATGGATGAACAAAGTCACAAACCAAATAAGTTCGCTTTAACTAATCACACGAACATTTATTCTTACTGTTTCATCCACCATCGATCACATACATCCACCATCGATCACCTACATAGGCTACTTGGTTGTCAATGAGATCAATAAATAGTAGTCATGTTGGGAATGAAATTTTAGTAAGAAACAAAATAATATAAAACAATAAATAAAAGACTAAATGATAGTTTTGGTCCCGATGTTTAAGTGTGTTTTTTGGATTGACTCCATAAAAATCTTTTTGCAAATTTGGTCCTGATTGCAACATTTCGTAACATTTTTGCTTTTTCTCACTAACATCATTAATAAAATAAATTTAAATGCATGTAAAATAACTATGAACAAGCCTAGATCTACACTTCTAACCCCATTAGAGCCCTTAAATCACTTGTATAAGCATGAATGCACGTAAAGTTGGACACTTTACGTGTAAAATCAACCCTAGGAACCTAGATCTATGAATGGTATGCACTGGATTCAAGCATAATCGTGTATATAGTGATTGCATGCATGCGACTCGGCGAGTCGTTCTTCGGACTCGACGAGTCGAGTCGCGAGTCCCCAATTTTCCCCTTTTGAGTGATTCCGAGTGGGACCAATGAGTTATAGGGTGGACTCAGTCAGTTTGAGGTCAGACCCAGTGATGGAGGGACTCGACGAGTTGTTCATACAACTCGACGAGTCCAAGGCAATCTTCTTGCCTCAAGAACAGACTCGACGAGTTGTTCATACAACTCGGCGAGTCACAAGCTGGAGTGTTCATCAGATGAAGATGAACTCGATGAGTTGTTCATACAACTCAGCAAGTCGGATGAAGGACCATTGGATACCTGTATAGGAGGAGAACTCGTCGAGTCAATGCCTAACTCGATGAGTAGGGACGGGATTATGGAAAATCGAATGGATAGGGACTCGACGAGTTGCCGGCCCAACTCGGCGAGTCAGGTCAACTGGAAGTTGACTTTGACTTTGACTTTGACTTTGACTTGACTTGGACAGGGGTAAAATGGTCATTTTACCCAAGAGTAGATATCAGACTCTGATAATGTGTTTTGTGGGAATTTTAGTCGGAGGATTTCCGAAGCAGCAGCAGCAGACAAAGAGTTCCCACACAGATCAGCAGCTACTACGAGGTGAGTTACCTTCCAGTAGCGGTGGGTCTACGACCAAAATGCCGTCCCACCAGTAGGGATCGTATGATAGATGTTTGTCTTTGTGATATTCATTTGTGCTTGTTACTACCTGATGTAACACCCCGAGATTCAGGTATATCTATTCCACCCTTATTCTTTCTCAACTTGTCATGATTGGTCCTTGTGTGGAAAAGCCTTACAAGTGAGTACGCTGAGCGTACCAAAGGGGTACGCTGCGCGTACTCATTCCCTATAGTTGGACGCGGAGTCGCCAAGGTACGCTGGGCGTACCCAGGGTTACGTCGGGCGTACCCGGCCCAGATGTAAAACCCTATTCTTGTCTTGTGCACCATTTAAAGGATGCTAAGGCTCATTTCTCAGCCTCCATATCAGTGAGTGAAACCCTAAGAGAGAGCCTTCCATCATCCTTAGTGAGTGAGTGTGTTCTTGGAGCTAATAGTGCCTTTGTGTGTTAGTGAAGAAGGAGGAAAGGAGCTTGTGGAGCCTAAATCTTGAAGAGCAAGAGTAGATCCGAGTTCTGCAGTGGTTGGAGATCCCTTTTGAGGTAAAAAGCTCAAAGCTTTCCTTGTTCTTCATGAGTTTTGCTTTTTGACCCGTTTTTAGGGTTTTTGGTTCAAAGGTGGAGACTTTATGTGCAAAGAGTCTCCATAAGCTTAGATCTGGCCTTTCCCAGTGTATATTGTGTTGAGGGTTCATAAAAATCCAATCTTGGTCATGGATCTTGAGTCATGCATGAGTTATGGTCTTAATATGGAAAGAGGAAAGGTGTTTTGAGTAAAAGGTGACCTTTACACCCATACAAAGGCTTAACGGTTTCAACTTTATGGAATAAGAACCCTTAGAGAAGTCAGATATGGAATATGAGTTCTTGTCTTAACCGTTTAAGACCAAAATCCACGAAATGGCTGAACCAGGATTTACGCTGGGCGTAATCCCAGTACGCGCGGCGTAGGGGGTGGCCCACCCCGATTCTGTGAAGGCACCGGGTACGCTTGGCGTACATGTTTGGTACGCGCAACGTAACCCGAAGGGTTGAGTTTTGTTGACTTTTAGGGTTTGGTCAACTTTAGGGTATTTGAGCTACGTGAGGGGTAAAATGGTCTTTTACCCTCATGAGAGTGT